ATATTTACAAAAATGTGAGGGGTGTACTCACTTCTGTGAGATACTGTATATATATATATATATATATATATATATGTTTTCCACCTGATGGTACCATTTTTTATCAGGTTCGATATAGAGAAAATACTTTTTTCTGTTTTCTGCTTCTACTGAATTGAATTAAAGTTAAGTAATTATAATCATGTGGATGTATTGGTATGGATGTCAGAGTGTGGTTTAGATGTGTGTAATGAGAAATCTGTGTGTGTGAATTATTATTATTATTATTATTTTTTTTGTTAATCTGCCATTTCACAAAAATAAAAATGCATCAAAATGAATGTTGTTTCTAATAATTGACTTGTCCACTCAAGACTGAAATAATCCAAAATACATTCTGGTTAGAATGTAGTATATCGAAACATAAACAAATAAACAAACAAACTCAGCAGTGGCATTATGTAAACAAACTGGCATTTAAAGAGTTAAATACCTAAAAATCAGTACATTTTTGGTAGTTTGTTTAGTACTGATGTTGGTAACAATTAAAAACACTTAGTGTTTAACACAGACATTTTTGTCCTCTGTGTAACAAGGGTTAAAGCACACTTTAAAGGGGTCATATGATGGTAAAACTAATGACATTATTTACTGTCTTTACATTTATTTTGAAAGATGAAGCTCGCGATTATGGTAAGGGGCGTTACATTTCCGACGAGTGCTTGTGGTGTTCGGCCAATCACAATGCACTGGGTCAGCTGGCCAATCAGAGCAGACTGCGCTTGTCAAAGGAAGGGGCTTTGTTGAAAACGACGTGTTTGAGAGAGGCGGGGCATAGAGGACCTACAATAATGTACAGTATTTGAAAAAGAATGTGTTTTTTGAACATTAAAGCATGTCAACATATTCTGTTACACCAAATACACAAAATAATGATCTTTAAAAAAGCATCATATGACCCCTTTAATAGACTAATAGATTTTGACTTCATTGTTATGATGCAGTATGAATGGTGTTGAGGAAGCTACATAGAAAGTGTAGTGTTTCAAATTAACCCTCAAAACAGTTCGAACCATTCGCTTCCAAAATTTCTTGAACAATCAGTTCTTTCTTTTTATGTCCAGTGATTGAAGCTCACCTGTCGTCCGTGTCCTAATGACTGGACGTTTCCTGCCGCTGATCAATGGCCCTCACGATGACCTGTCACTGACCTCTCTGGCCATACATCATTACTGGAGGCAGAGCATTGTGTCGGTGATGAATGAGGCTCGGGTGAGGTGGGCCGCTTGGGGGGGTTGAGCTAAACTGATCGTCCTCATGCACTTTCACCTTCACGGACGCCTGAAATTAAGCAGCGCTGCATCTCTCTGAAGCCCTCCATCACCCGATCCTGTTTAATCACAGCAGGAGAGGAGAAGAACTGCAGTGCATTTCACTCAGCCCTGATGAAGCTGCTTATATCAGCATGCAGAGAGAATGCTGGACCTTTATAATGAAGAGGCATGGCATTGCTATTGCACAACTGGCAGAGAGACACTGTGTGTTACTGAAATGTATTTGTTTGTAAAGATGCAGTGTCATTTTAGCAAGGTGCAGAGGTGCCAACAACCTCTATGCGAATTATAGACCATTAGACCAAACAGTTACTCACCTTCATGCTGTCACAGATGTGTTTTATTTCTTTTAAACAAAACTTTTTAGAAGCTCATATAAAGCAAGTCCATGTAATGCAAGTGGATAGTAACCCAAAAGTTTAGTTTTCGAAGGTTCCTTTTTATAGGATACATTTTTGTACCTGTTAGGTACTAATATGGACCCTTTAGTTAGAAAGGTGTACTTTTTGTTGTTTACTGGCCCAAGAAAGTATATTGGGACAGTAAACAAAATAACACACTTTCTGCATTCCTAACATACTGTACATGTTAGTTTAACCAGTTTAACCATCTGGTGCTCTTTGGTCAATACTGACTGAACAATTGTACGTTTTGGTTCTCAACTGGCAGAGAGACACTGTGTGTTACTGAAATGTATTTGTTTGTAAAGATGCAGTGTCATTTTAGCAAGGTGCAGAGGTGCCAACAACCTCTATGCGAATTATAGACCATTAGACCAAACAGTTACTCACCTTCATGCTGTCACAGATGTGTTTTATTTCTTTTAAACAAAACTTTTTAGAAGCTCATATAAAGCAAGTCCATGTAATGCAAGTGGATAGTAACCCAAAAGTTTAGTTTTCGAAGGTTCCTTTTTATAGGATACATTTTTGTACCTGTTAGGTACTAATATGGACCCTTTAGTTAGAAAGGTGTACTTTTTGTTGTTTACTGGCCCAAGAAAGTATATTGGGACAGTAAACTAAATAACACACTTTCTGCATTCCTAACATACTGTACATGTTAGTTTAACCAGTTTAACCATCTGGTGCTCTTTGGTCAATTCTGACTGAACAATTGTACGTTTTGGTTCTTTAGAACTTTTTACTTCATCGTAAAAAACATGGAAAAAAAGCACTTGACTGCACATTGGAAATGAAAGGAAATGACATGTTTGGTCATTTTAATGACCTCCCCCCAAAAAAAATCTTACTGAAAGCTTACTTTTTGAGATATCAACCTCAAATTTGGTACACAACTTGTTTATTTATGGCTTTGATTTTCTTGCATTTTTAGAGTAAAACGTGTTTTGGAAAATGTATATTTCATATAAAAAAATGTAAATGGTATTTTTTTGTGTATATATGTTTCATAAAAATAAACTTAGATTTCTATACATTTTTAAATTTCCCCTTTTGTTGTTGTTGTTTTTAATCTTTGTTCTTCAGCAGTAATCTGTCAAGTGTCTTCGTTAAAAAGAGACCAAACTCAAGATGTATGATTTGAAATATTCAGGTCTATTCTCAATAAATGGATTTCAACTATGCATAAATATAATACCATAAAGTCCCCTAAAAATACAAAATATTGAATAAAAAACAAACTCAAATATTGCATAAACCAGCCTAGTCCTACATGAAATTCATGGTGTTTATGCTGTATTTTTCAGCAGGGAGATCTGTTTGTTCTTCAAACACTGACTGCGTTGCATCCAGCCCTCAGAGCAGAACAGGGCCGTGAAAGCGTGAGAATGAAAGCGATAACACAATGCTTTCATGGAGTCTATTGTCTGAAAACAGAGTTCACAACCTGTCTAAATATGGTCCAGTTATGTACATTAAAAGTATAAATTATGTATAAAACTGCATCTTAGCTAAATATGTCAACATTTAAAATGTTATCATTAGATATTATATATATTTGAGTTCAAGTTAAATCCCAATACATTTTGAGTGATAATGTTATAATTTAAAAAGAAAAGAAAAAAAAAAGGTGTTAAAAATGAGTTGAAGCTGCACTATGTAACCCTCTAGCGGCTGAAGCGCAAAACTACAAGGTACTCGCGGAGGAACATTGTTTTGGTCATGATGGGGGTTGTGCTTTGGCTCTGCTATTCTGCGCGGATGAATCTGATGTTCACTTAATCAGTGCGACTGTCAACAACACCAAAACCACCTGTAAGTTGGTTTACCAGGCGCCATTAAAACCAAAAGAAGACGGAGAAGAAGACGAAGACATCAAACAACATCAAAACTCTCTCAATAACGAAAGACAGATATCTGAAAGGAGGAGGTAAGCTTAGAAACGTTTTGCAAAGCTAACTATTCACCAGATTGCTATTCATATCAGATAACGATGGAAAGTATAACTTGGCAATGCTATTCATACAGACCAGTGGCCTGTACCATGATGGTGGCTGAACAAACTCAGGGTTACAGGATTAGTTTTGAGTTGACAAAACCAAACCAGTCCAATCTGGCTTTGTTGGTACCATGAAGCTCATCATCAACTTTCTCTGTCAACTTCAGGCTTGATCCTGAGTTAATGGAGCATGTGCACATGAAAGTGTGACATCAGTAATGAACAGCCAATCACATGCCTTGAAACTGTGATTCACTTCTCATGAGAGAGTCAGTGCAATTCACTACCAAAGATTAAAAGATTGAACAATATGAAGAATTTAAACAAATAAATTATCTTTAAAAATGTTTTACTATATAGGGTCCTTTAATTTGGAGTAAGAGAAACTGGGGGAGTGGCTTTACATGTGTCACTTTGCTTGAAGCTGATTGGTCAATTTTCGGTTTGAGATCTCTAAACCAGAACATAACCTGCCCTGGAGCAGGTTAGCTGTGGAGCGTAAGTTACTATGGTGATGAACACCACTAAAAGCCAAGCCACTTTCATGGTACTTAAAACCCAGGATTGGTGCAAACTAAACTGAAACTTACCTGGCTAGCCAGCTAATCCGGCTTCATGGTACAGGCCCCTGGCAAATAGACTAAAGCAGTAAATGGTTTAGAAATCGTTACCAACATTCAGTTGTTTTGTACATCTGGCAGTTGTGATGCGATGTAAACTATGTTGATTCGTGCTTTCTTACGGGTCCGAGCACTAGCATAAAGTATGTTTTGCATGTTTTAACCAGCATGGGATGCTGTTTTGACTGGGACCAGCATGGGAAATAGGGGTGCTGGTGGACCAACCAGACCAGGTCAGTTTTGCTTAAGTGGTCTATCAGCTAAGCCAGCAATATATCAGCACTATACCAGCTCTAACCAGCATAAATCAACCTGGACCAATTCAAGCTGGTTTATGCTGGATTTTCATTTTCCTTTTTCCAAACTCTTCTTTGCAAGCTTCTTCCACTGCATATAATAGGATATAATAGATCCTGACTTGTAACTCACCCCATGTTTTTAGTTATTAGTATGACAAACATACAAAGTTGTATGTCCCAAATCTAGCTTTAAATTAAACAGCATTATGATCAGTTGAATACAGGTTACATTCATGTTTATATTAAAAGTCTGAGGGAATGACATTGCAGGCTTTTGATCAGTTGGTCACAGATTTGGTGGCATAAGGAGTAAGCAGCAGATCACACAAAATGATTTGCCATCAAAAGAGATCTATATTTTGCATTATTGTACCTCATGGCTTTAACATCTTTTCTAGGGTATGTTGTGCTTTCACCATTGACTTCTCTCTTCTTTTCATTATGGAAAGGTGACTTCGAGATGGCTGCTTTCATATTGTGCTGGCAATCATCTAGCATTGAGGTTATGTGTGTCTTGAGGGGAAAATGGTATATTAGGGCAATAATTGCCCTTGGGGTCTGCGTGTTTTTTTTTTTTTACGATAACCCAACTTTCTCCTGTGACTTTGACCTCAAGTCCTCTCACCTCCTGCTCTGCTGCCAAGACATTTGTATCAAAAATGTGCTCGTTGGAAACAAACATATCATGCTGCTCCTGATGACTTGAGAAAGAGACTCCTGGGATCGTGTGCTACGTTGGCATAGCTGCGTGTTGGCATTGCCGGAGTTCTCTGACTTTCTTAAATGGTGCTCTCAATTAAATTTCGCCCTTCTCTTCAATATGGGTGGAGGTGATGATGTCCTTGAGCATCAAACAACATGCTCCTAGATTAGATAGCTGCATGTGCTCCATTTCTGAGGAGCTGCTCTGGGACCTGGACTGTGTTTCCTCCCAGCCTAAATAAGGACATTTATGGGTTCTTCTAAACACTCATCCTGCATCATAACCAAGAGTGGTCATTAGTTTTGTTTTTGATATTCTCTTGAGAATAAGAATTGATTACAACTGCTGTCATTGTCTGTTAACTGTTAAATCTGGCTAGAGATTTAAAATGCCATTTCGGTACAGTTTCGTAAAGTACGTCTGTATTGATTTTCCACAGGTGTTTTACCTGTATTTTAAATTGTGCATTGCATTGTATTATTATGCTTGTTGTTTTTAAGGCATTTTGACAACCCAGTACATGTACACTCCAAATCATGAAGTTAACTGTTATTATTTTGAAAATAGACATGACCAGGTTGTGTATGGGTCAAAGATGTTAAGATGTCCTCATCAAAAGAAATTTACAAAAGTGATTATATGTCCATAGAAAGCACATTAAATGTAAGTAAAGTGTCTACTTCTAAGGTTTCGAATAAGTTTTTGGAGAATAAAATGTTAAAATTTGGTTGAAATAATGTTATATTGTCATTCAGTGTAACACAATATTTATGTAAAAATTCAAACAACATGCTTATTCTGACGTGTACATATTAAATAAGGGAGCAGATTAAATTTGATTGTGTTTTAAATTAGTAAAAATTCTTACTGACAAATGGGCAAAACCTAGGATAGTGGCAAATTTTAAAAATGTAAAATTACAACTAATTAGTATTTGGGGTGAAAGTAATTAGATATGTCATAAATAGATTTTTGTTGTAAATATGCCTGACAAGAATGTTACACTGAATGACATTTTAGTGGGTATCTTCTGTAAATCAGGGGAAAAAGGTATGATATTTATTTTTTTGCACGGAAAAACAAAAACAAAATTGAGATGAAATTAAACAGAAAACTTTTTAATTTTTTGGGAGAAAAACAACAACAATTTAAAACAGTATTACACTTATTGTTTTAATGCTTACACCCTTTTTCGTCTTTGACCCCTATACAAGATGGCAAATAGGTCACACAAAACTCACTCATTCATATTTATTGAAAAGGGAAGAGAAACACGTTTGTGATTTATGTAAGAATCTTTTGAGTGTAAAACATTTTTAATAGAATGTCCATTTTTAAATGATACTAGATGACGTTTTTATTCAGAAAATATATTAATGGACATTTTTAAAAAGGTTTCTCCTGAAATAATTTTAGAATTTTTATCATATAGTAAGTTAAAATCTCTCTATATTTGTTATGGCTATTGTTGTTATTGCTATATTAGTTTATATTGTTTTTCTTTTGCATGTTGACTTTTAACTTTGTTGTTTTTGTCCGTTTTAGTTGTTTTATTTTTTTAACGCATGTCTGTAGAGTTTTTATTCATTTTAATTTCAGTTGAAATTATTTTGGTACATCAAATGTACTAAATTGTTCCAAATACTTTTTTCTATTTTATTTGATTTTCTTTCTATTTCTATTTTCGATTTTCTTTTTATTTCAAGTAACAAAAATGTGATTGGTAATTTTCTGCCAGAACATTTTTCTACCTTACGATGTATATTATCAGCATTTTTTGGTGCCTTTTCTCATCATTACTCAGCCTGCTAAGTAAATGTGTTTTTTCAGTATCTTGATTGGATCACTGGATCACGTCAATAAAAGTGAGCAGATGTAAACACGCAGTGTGTGCTGACTGAAAACATTGTCTGAATCCCTCTAAATGACACTGTCAGTCACATGGGAACTCATCCATATAAATATAATATTTTCACAGGTAGTTCTCAGTGCTGTCACCTTTGAATGACATCATCCTCAGGTGAGGCTGTCCTCTGAGAGCGCAGAGCGATGAATGAGAGATTTCAGGAGACAGATGAGAGATGCGCTCCCTGGGTCATCGCCTCACTTCACCTCAGCTGTAACTCACCGTATCTCAGCACACTCGTGGTATGATGCTCTTATTATTACGTTTGAAAGTCACCATGATTCTGCATTCATGTGCCATTTTAGCACAGGACTTGATTTGATGCCGTAACCATTATGCTTCTTTTAATGAAAACTCACATGAAATTTATGGCTCTGAAATCAAAGACAAGACCTTCTTGATTTGATCATTCATGAACAAGTATCCCAATGGTGATGCTTCTTTTCCACATAAAGCTGTTTGACAGTTAGTTAACATTAACAGCAGAACATGTTGGCATTTTGTAACAACGCAAATATCTACTAACTCCTCTAATGTGTGCTCACACTTCAGATCAGGCCAGAAGAGAGAAATACACAAGAGATAAAATTGCGCAAAGTTGTCTATTTATGGGCGGTGAGACGTGAATGGCTTTCAGTGTCAGATGAACAGTGTTTCAATTTAATGGCTGTTTCCCTCTGGAGAAATAAAACCGTTCTCTCATTATAAAACACGTCTGCTCCTCCGGAGTATGGCCCTTTTACCGAAGAATTGTCACCGAATTACTCAGCAAACCCCAACATAGAAATCATCACGATAATAACGGTTGCTCACCGTCTCAGATATTTTTATGCGTTTGCTGATGCCTCGTCAAACGACATCTGGAAAGGTCTGTCCCTGCATGATGCCCGCAAAATATCGATCCGAGCAGTCAACATAATTAAACTTACACCCATCCACAAAAGACCCAATTACTTTCACTTGGTGTATCGACACGTGAGATTGACCGTGAGGTAAAATAGAGGCCTGGATTGTGGTGCATGCACACACTACACTGCAATCGACACAGAAGTGAGGATTTAGTGAAACGCTGAACCAGAAATGCACCAGTATTGCTGCCTGTTTATGAGTCACACATTTAATTAAAAAAAGACAAAAGAAAATCAGTTAATGCCATTACATCTTAATAAGTGGTGTTTGTTAGTCCAGCACCAATATTACTAGTGTTCATGTCATAGTTGGACTGACCAAGTAACACTTTGCTTTGTACATTACCAAACAAAATTTGTCATTAAAAACGTGTAATTTTTTCATGTGAAATTCTACAAAAAAAGTATATGTATGTGTGTGTGTGCGTATTTATAGAAATATCACATGATGAAGTTTTAATGACACATTTTGTCATTAAACAACACATTTTGTGCAGCATGAAGGGACATGCAGTATATGACATTATTTTAATTTGATATTCAATAGCAGAACTCTAAGAGGTGACTAGACCACAGTTCATTAGCAAATCACTGAACAATTAAGAATAGTTTAAAGTGTTCAACAACAATCACAGAAATACTTAACAATTAAACAACAACAACAGTTAATCTATTCAATCATAAAAAACAATACAAATAATATTTACGCCGTAAGGGAGTCTCGCTCATTCATTCACACATTAATCATCTTACTCTTTAGTTATTAAAGGGATAGTTCAGCCAAAAATGAAAAGTCTGTCATCATTTAAAGGATAGTCACTAGTGAAGGTCTTGTGTTGTCCTCAGCCAGGTGATTGGCTTCAACATTCTGAACAAAAAGCTGAGCAAATCATATTTTTGTGAAAGACCATGTCCGGATCGGATTCAGAACGATGATCTAGATGGATTAAATCACTTGCATCAACACCCCAAAGCTTCACAGTCCTAAACACCTTCCTGTATCATTACATATGCAGTCACTTGTTTCTGTTGCTTCTTCGTCTGTTTTGATCCAGAGATTCAGTACGTTTTTAGAAGATGCGTAACAGCACCCCCTACCGTATAACAGTGAAAAAGCGTTGTCTCGTAAATGATGGAAAATTCCATCGGTAGCGAAGAAAGGGTTATCAGTGGGAGTATCTTGACACCATTCCTCAGCTGTAGTGTTTTGTGTGAATCATAAGGTAGATTTAGGAGCTGGAAGGGCAAAGTGTGCAGTAACGTGATCATGAAACACAGGCGCTTTAATTAGAGCTTAATGGCGTTTTAATCAGTGCTAATGTAGTTGCAACTGGAGCTTGTGTAATGTGCCTTAAACAGTCACTTCAGAAGATGCTCGTCAGGTGACCTGTTAGAAAGCAGTGAATTTTACAGAACACAGCTGTAAATGAGAACTGTTCCTCTTTTAAAAGATAGGGGAACAAGTTATGCCTTCCTTAAATCCAGTGAATGTTTATATATGAGTGTAAATACTCAGGGAGAAAACAGCAGACAAATGTCTCAAGTGTTGATTCTGTGTTTGTGCAGCAACCACAGCAAGGAACTTCAAATGATACTTATAAATGCCTCAGAAATGTCAATGCATCAGATGTAAAATATCAAGCAAATGCTGTAGGATCTTTTCTTATTACTAACATGGCACAGTTAGTAGGACTGGACCTGGCAAACTAGGTTTGCTTATGTATGGCCCTATGATTTCCATGATGCAGAAGGCGCGGACGGAATCACAAAATCTAGTCATAAAAATGGAATTTGCCAAATTATGAATGAATAAATCAAAAGTAGGTCAGTAAATGTAAATCAAATGGCAATATGGACTTGTGTCTGTGAATAATAAACTGCAAAAAGACTTAAATATTAATCTTGCATGTTTTGCATGTCTCTGTGTGAATAAACAGCACAGACATGCAGTTTCAGCTGCTTAAGCGCTTGTGACACCTGTGATGTTTTCAGCATCTGTCGTCTCACTAAATGAGGATATAAATACATCTCAAGAATAAACAACATCTCCAGAATTGCTCTGAGAGTCACTTCAAGAGTATTTGACCATTTCATTTGATAAAAACTACAGTCATGTCAAAATAAAAGTTTGGTTTAACTCGAAGAAATTGTCAGAATACTACTACTACTAATAAAAATATTATTAAAACTTTGTTTTAAGGAATAATCACACAAATTGTCTTCTGTGTTTTAATTGCAACCGTAAACCTCTGTTTAGAAAAATAAAAGGCTTTGTTTAATTTTCATTTGATTTAAGAATTAAATTAATTAATGCTTTATGCCATCATTTGATTACCAGAAAATTTAAAGTGCATAACACAGATTTTCTGGGGAGAAAAAAACACTAAACATTTCATAGGGCCCTATTATTGTAAAAAAACAAAACAAAAACAAAAACGTTTGACTATTAAAATTTTATTAAACCATTAAAATGGAATGTGAAAAAACCAAAAAACTAAAATAAAAAAAATAGTAATAAAGAATAAAAAAATAAACACATTTCATTGGGGCCTAAAAATAAAAATCATAAAAATTTAAATTTGAATTAATTTTCAACTTTCAATAAATTGCTGTTAACTTGTGTAAGTTTCATGATTTCAATTAATTAGAAATTATTTTTAATTAATAACATTTTATTTACCCATTTAAACAGAGTCAATAAAAAAAAAAAAAAAAAATAAATAAAATGGTCCCTACTTATGAGTCATTCTATAATTCAGTGTACATTTCATGTCCGAATTAAGCATATTATAATCTTGTATAATAATTAATAATGTTTTTGTTTTGAATGAAATTGTCTTGTCTCGGTCCGCGTTTTAATATGCTCCTCATCATAGAGCTTCTTAAATAGTTGCCAAGGCTTTTTAGGTCGGGTAGAATATGCAATCTCTGACGAAGTTTGGTGAATTCACCTGACGAGAAGATGTGAGACCAATAGAGGAAAACTGGAGAAGATGGTGCATTGCCACATTCTGAAGGAATTCTATTTTCTTGTGTGTTGTATTGTTTATTAAAATTGACAGTGTGTAACATCATGTATGTCGTAGTGTTTAAAGGAATGTCATCAATCCACACTCGTTGGAAATTTGTGCCTGGGGCGACATTTCAGCAAAATGATATTATGTTTCCTCCTGCATGTTTCAGAACATGAAATATTCAGCGAGTCAGTTTTATATGAAACGCATGAATGTGAATCTGTCTATGCTTTATTACGCTGGTTGATGCATGTATCACAGCAGTTCAGAAATGTATTAAAAAGTTAATGCTTATCTATACAATAATAATAATATAATAAACACATTTGTTTGAAAATAGCACACACCCACACGAAACCCTATACTAAACCTAACCTATAGTGTTGCCAATGTGAGATAAAAATGCATTTGCTAAACATATGGAGCTAGTTATGAGATGCAAATGTCAAAATTATTGATTTTACGTGCAGGCCTGCAGTGCAAACGTGCATTTATCTTTTGCCATTCCTGGGATTTGCTGGGAGTAGACAGTTGCTAAGCAAAAAGCACTCCTGTGTAATTGATAAATGATTTCACATGAACATGATTTGTCACATGTGTACTTTTTTATGTTACTTAGAGTGATTCAGCATCTAGATGAGGATTCTGGGCTAATCTAGAAAAGTAATATTAAACGCCGCAGTCAGCTTTGAATGTTGTTAGCCTTTGGTCATAATATTTTCAATTTAAATAAACTACCAACTTTATTTGCATTTATATGCAACCGCCTGTTATTCTGCAATAAACCCTGTGATGTTTGAAGAGTCTGAGGACCACTTTATTGGTTGTTTTTAAGTGCTTTTTACTATGATGCTTTACATTAAATTGACAATTAAATTGTGCAGTGCAGTAAAACCATGGTTGATTGGGTCTGAAATGACCCCCGGCTTTACACACACATCCACACACAGTCTGCTTTGGTACAGTTCCCTTCAGCTTGATTCAAACTGTTTTTTTTTTTTTGCACATTAGTCTCAAATTTGAGAAAATCATGTTCAGTTTGACCCTTTCAGTATCTGCCATCTTATGGGAATTAAGTTATCACTGATGCTTGCTATTCTCGTCTTCAGCAAATATCATCATGTATCATTCTTTCATATTGGATAGGTGTTACTCAGCTGCTATGACATATTTTTTTTTACCAAAGTCTATATGTGACCCTGGACCACAAAACATAAGGGTCAATTTTTCGAAATTGAGATTTATACATCACCTGAAAGCTGAATAAATAATCTTTCCATTGATGTATGGTTTGTTATGATCGGACAATATTTGGCCGAG